AGATTCAAAACAGAAATCCCTGTGTGCACCCATCGCCGGCCCTCACCCATCACCCAAATGTCCCATTCCAGCCCCACCCTTCAACACAGAAGTCTATCATCCCATCCACCCAATTCGTCTCCAGGATCCCACCAGCATTTGAATCTATTTACCTTCTCCCAATTTCGAGAGCAAACCCTCCCTTCCCATCTCCCTCTAGTTGTGGGTTTCTCCATCACATCCTTCTCTCCTTTCCCATCATCCCTCACTGCTCTTACTTCCTTGCTTCCCACTCCGGCCATGCTCCTGCCGCCACCACATTGCAGAACCTTCCACCAGGGCCAACAGCCTCCTCCGTCTCCCTAGGTCCCGTAGTCACTTCTCCATCCTGTCCCCTGGCCCTCTCAGCAGTGGCTGCCACAGTCAATCATGCCCTTGTTCTGGAATAACTTTTCTTGTTGATGCTCTGACCAGATCCCCCCTTAATACCCCGGTTCGCTCTCCCCCTCTGAGTTCTCCTTGGTCTAGTGAGCATCCGCCACACTCGGCCTAAACTCTGTGCTGCGTCAGCTCCACAGCTGTGCTCCCATCGGAAGGACTCCAGCCCACACTCTCTCCTGAGCGCCAGCATCTCATGCCCAGCATGCCCACGGGTCCAAGCCTGCTCCTCCCGCTGCCTCCATCTCCGTCAATTCCTCCAGCCCTGGTCCATTCTGGTTTCAGATAACCGGCTGTGTGTCCTCTGCTCTTCCTTTCTCCTCAGCCCACATCCAGGTTCTCTCTGCAAAATTTACTGATATCAAAACAGTTTCATCAAAATGTAAAACCTGCCTTTATTACCAATCTCTGCCCTAGTTTTGGAGGACTTTGTTACTTGGATTATTTTTTTAAAAGAGTGTTTTATCTTTATAATCAGAAAAAAACAGTAAGGACAGTGTGAGGAGCCTGACAGCCTGGCTGAGCTTCTGAGGTGGCCTCAATACTCTGTCCCCCAAAGCCACCCCGGGAGAGGAATTCTACAGCATTCTGTCACAGCTGGCTGTGGCACCGAGCGTCTTGGGAGAAACTAGAGAAGTAGTTGATGATTCCAGGGTGAAGTGAGCATAGGGTTAGGGTCAGGGTACCAACCAAAGAATGTTGGCGGGTTGGGATTCTCAGAAGGAAGCATTCCTGTGTTCTATAGTCCAGACATTATTGATTGTGTACTGTGCCCAGATCAGAGGGGAAATTGAGCATTTATCTGTAATATCCTGTATTTTTAATATCTTTTCATATCTACCACTGTTTATTATAAAACAAACATACTCAGAATTTCTAATAGGATAAAAAAATATGCCAGTAGAAGTTCTGTTCTCTTCCTGTCCTACAATGAACCAGCTACGCAATAGCCTGTGCAGCTGACTGTGGGCCCCTGCGAGGGCCGTCCTTCTGACTTCACAGTAGCACGTGAGGTGCAGATTTGAGGACCCCACCCCCAGAGAGTATGTCAGGCCCCCAGGCCTGGGCGTCTGTGTTTTTAATCAGCTGCCCTAGGGGTCTTGATGCCAGTTATTCTTTGGACTTGCCTTAGGAATCCTTCCTCTAGAGCAGTGGTTCTCAGCCTTCCTAATGCCGCGACCCTTTAATACAGTTCCTCATGTTGTGGTGACCCCCAACCATAAAATTATTTTCGTTGCTACTTCATAACTGTAATGTTGCTACTGTTATGAATCGTAATGTAAATATCTGATATGCAGGATGTATTTTCATCGTTACAAATTGAACATAATTAAAGCATAGTGATTAATCACAAAAACAATATGTAATTATATATGTGTTTTCCGATGGTCTTAGGCGACCCCTGTGAAGGGTCATTCGACCCCCAAAGGGGTCGCGACCCACAGGTTGAGAACCGCTGCTTAGAGTTTCAAGTGAAAGAGAAGAAACAGAACACTACCGGCAGACTTTAAATAGGAAGTATTTAAGTATACTTTGGGGAGAAATCTATAACTCTGAATGTTTTCGAAAATTTCAAAAAGCTGGACCTTGACTGATCCGTTTTTAAGTTAGATATATTGACTGGTTTGTTTTAAGGCCTCCAAAGTAGCCATGAATCCATCCCCTTCTTTTCATCCCCACTGACCCCACGCACATTAGGTCCTGTGACCGCCAGGAAGAAAACAGACTGGGATACAAGGAGGTAATGTTGGACTGCGCATATGCCAGACAGGGAAGGCCTCTGGAGGTGATGTGAGTCCAGCCTTGGGGGGAGAGTCGAGTGTACACCAAGGCTCCAAGGCGGAAGTGGGCTGGACACAGACAGAAGCGCCTGGAGGTGGGGCAGTCCTGGAGGCCGGTTGGGACCGGGCCCTGAGGTGACTGGATCAGACTGAACAGGCTCTGGGCTGTGTTTTTCACTGTGACAGGAAGGAAGCTATATTTGTTTCCCGGGGCGACTGTAACAAAGTACTACCAACTAGAGGCCAGAAGTCGCCAAGCTGAGTCCTCCACCGGCTCCGAGGGGATCTGTTCCGGGCCTCTCTCCTAGCTGCTGGGCTGCCTTGACGTGGAGACCCTGACTCCAGCCTCTGCCTGTCCGGTGGCATTCTCCCTGTGCGTGCGTGCCATCACATGGCCTTTCACAAGGACTTAGTGGCGTGAGGGCTCGCTCATCTCCAGTATGACCTCATCTTAACTAATTACATCTGAGGTTCCACACAGACGCCGTCGGAGGATTTGCACTTTCAGAAGATTGCTCTGGGATGGCAGAGGGGTCCAGCTGAAGATGATGGGGGTGACTAAGCGGCGAGGGGGCTGAGGCAAGGGGTCGCGTCCCCGGGAAGGACTGATGGGCGTGCTGACGGATCAGCGATGGGGCAGATGAGGAGGAGCTGGGTCATTAAGGACCCCAGCTCTTACACACCAGCATCAAAATCTCTGCACAGCTCTGCCTGGCTCAGCGAGGCCTCAAAGCCTCACTCTCTAGCCACAAGGCCTCGCTCTGCCTCTCCCCTGCCTGGCCTTTCTCCGGATTCCTGTCCCCAGCCTGTCTCCCTCTCTGTGACCAAACCCCTCCCTGCCTAGCTGCCCCTTTCTCCAGGAAGCCTTCCTCATCCCCTCCAAGTCTGGTTCAGGGCCGCCTGGTCCTGTCAGTACTTGGTCAGCATCTGTCTGCCCAACTGGGCTACACATCCTGAGAAGAAAGGGACCCAGATGGCATTGCTCACTGCTGAGCCCAGGACCCAACACCACGGGAGTTTCCAGAGCCACAGCCTGTGCTAGGGCCGTGTGGGAGGAGGTGGGTTGGCGGGAGGTCCTGAGGAGGTCAGGCTGGGCCCCTGCAGCCCTCTTGGGAGGTGCTGGCCACTAGGATGGCCTGGTGCTCCCTGTCTATCCTGGGTGCACTCACCAGTGCGAGTGCCACTGAGAGTCTTCCTGCAAGGCCAGGACGGAAGCAGGCGTGCTGGGACCTCCTTCACAACTAGGCCCAGGAGGGAGATGAGGATGCTCGTGCGTACAGCGAGGACTGATCGCGGCCACCCAAGGCCAGGAGAATGGTGCCCCTGACAACAGGCCGGGGGCTCTAAAACCCACAGATCATCCCAGGCAGCTTAAGGACATGCAGCCTGACCTGGAAGATGGAACCCAACTGGAGGCAGAGTACTAGTTTTAGCTGGAAAGACCCTGGTGGGACCCAGAATTTCAGCTCAGCAGCCCCTGGCCAGTCCCTGCCACTGGAAGTTCTGACCTAAACTGAAGATGACACCAGAACAAGGAAAGTGTTTCGGGGAGGGGGCCTGGTCTTGGCCCCAGGGAGCAGCCGGTGAGGATGGGCACACTGGAGCAAGTCGTCACGTGAACAGAGAGCAAAAATGGCCCCTCCTTCAGGTGCTTCCAGGCCAGTGCAAGAGGCTCTTCCTCGCTGGCCCCCTGAGGCCGGGGCCCCGCCCCGCCCTGTGAGGAGTTCTGTCTCTGGCTGAGCACATGCATGTGGACGTGGGGGCCTTGGCCAGTGCAGGCGTGGGCCTGGCTCAGGTCCCAGAGCAGCAAGTAGACCCGGGTGGGTTGGAGACTGCCTGTCCGCTCGAAGCTGTTGTGCTGGGTTCTCTCACTCCATGCACCATGGCCTTTCGTGTCTCGGGATAGGAGGTGGCTTTTCTATGGCTGAAGAGTTTCTTTGGTGGGAAAGAGGCCTTGGACAGGAGGCAGAGGGATGGACTTGGTGCCCTCTCGAGGCCCAATGAGCCTCGGTGCACTGTGAATATAGGGGCGAGAGCTGTGTTAGAAGGGCCTCGGGCAGCAGTGTCGCTGACTCAGCCAGGAAGGCGGAGTCACCAGCCTGAGCTACCCAGATGCTCTCTGTCGCTGGCTCAGCCAGGGCCACAGGGTCAAGGCTGTGCTCGGCCCATGTTTTGTATCAGGGAATTGTGGCTCAGGGCTAAGGACACTCGGGGTCCGGGAATTGATTCCCAGATGTCCCGGGCAGGTGAGGCAGTGGTGGCCCCCAGAGCCGGAAGGTCAGGGAGGGTCGCCCTTGAGTAAGGTGGGAAATGTCTCTTGTGTTTCCTCAGGTTAGAAATCTGTGCTACATGGTGACAAGGCGGGAGAGAACGAAACACGCCATCTGCAAACTCCAGGAGCAGATATTCCACCTGCAGATGAAACTTATTGAACAGGATCTGTGTCGAGGTAGGCGCCTTCCCTGCCCAACACCAGCCACCTCCGTGTGCACACACTCAAGGGGTTGGGGCCCAAGAAGGGTGTGTGTATGGAGCCTGGTTTGGGGCATGTGCATGGGGCCCGGGGCCACTGGCCCCCACCCCTACCCTCCGTCATTCAGTAACTGGGCCGAGAAGGGGACCTCCCCAGGGTCCCAGGTATGTATTGTTAGGCAGGGAGCCAGAGGTTGGAGTGTGGGCATCAGGCCTGCCCTCTGAGAGCGTTCTTATCCACTAGGGACACCAGGTAGTGCCAGGGCCACAGTGGTTCAGTAGTAAATTGCATGTGAACAGGTGGGGACCAGAGGTCCTAGTGGCTGTGTGCTGGCACTGGGGCAGGAAGGGCCAGAAGCCGGCGAGATTCTCTGACCCACGTGCCTGCGTGTTGAACCTGAAGAAAGCGGCTGCCCAGTGATGGAAGAGGTCCTGTGTGCTCTTTCCCTGGCCTCAGAGGGTTCAGGCCCTGTGCCAGAAGCTATTCCCTCTTATTTCTTACTCTCCTGCATCACATGCATTTAATAGATTTGGAAATCAAAGGCCAAAGAAGCTCTGGCTTTGCTTTTATCTGTTAGTTGTGTGGATATTGCCAGACACGGGGCTCTTCCTGGAGTCTTCACATGTTAAGGAGGGCAGTGCTTGACCCCCAAAGGGTGCTCTCGTGTTGGATTTCCTGCAGCAGGAATAGCTGGATGGAGAGGGATTTCGAGCCAGGGGCGGCCACTGCCAGCTCAGCCTCTGGGTCAGGCTGGGCCTGGAGTGGACAGAGAAGAGAGCTGCCAGGCCACCCCCGGAGCCGATGCCTGAGGGCTGGCCACCCCTGCCTGAGAGCCAAGCTGCCTCATCTGCACTTTGGGATCGCCACCCACTCTGGCCCAAAAAACCAGGAGTGCCAAGTAAAGACGGTGGGTCACAGCCATGCAGAGCTCAGAGCTCGCAGTGCACCCTCAAGGCTCTGGCAGCTCCCTGGCGCCCGGAGTGGTCCCCGGCTCCCTCTCATCCGTGATTGGTTCTGTGAGCACTAACTGAGCGTGGACGGAGGCCAGGCCCTGTGCTGGGCATTGCGGGCACACTGCTGCGGGCTGAACGGACAAGGTCCCGCCCTTGTGGAGCTCACCACCTGGAAAGACAAAGGGAAGTGGTGGCCAGGGGACGGCAGCGGTGCTGGTGCAGGGACAGAGCTGTGAGGGCGGCTTCTCGGCGGCAGTGGTTCTGCAGCAGCCCCGGGCTTCCTGGGACCGCACTGTGAGCACATCCAGCCGCAGGAGCGACACAGCCGAGGCAGCAGAGTGGCACGGCCTGCAGTGCCCGAGGCACGGGATTCCCGAAGCATGTTCAAGAGTCGCAACATTTCCAGCTCCCAGGTCTGAGTGGCTACAACAGACAGCCCTTGTTCAGGGCAGAAGACCGGTTTGCCTCTGCCCGAAGCTGACGCCCTGCGTGTTGTGCGCTTGACCCCTGGCGTGGGACGTGGGCTACAGGCATATTGCCAAGGCCTGTCTGGCCAGAGGGCTTGAGAAGGCTTCCCGGTGGCAGTGGTATTTATTGAGGCTGGAGCTGAACCAGGTGAAGGCCAGGACAAGGAAAGAGCATTTTTGGAGACCCAGAGACCAGAGCTTATCTTGTTAGAGAAACTGGAAGGAAGCTGCTGGTATCGGTGCGATTAGAGCAGGAGGAAGATGTCCAAAGTGAGGCTGAGGGGTTGCCAAGGTTGACCAGGCAAGGTCCTGTGACCCTCAGAAGGAGCTCAGACTAGCTGAGGACAGTGGGGGCCTCAGAAGCCTGCCCTCACAGTATATGGGCACTGGTCCCATGTTATAGATGTGGAGACTGAGGCCCAGCAGGAGGTGCACAGGGGATCAGCAGCCGAGCTGGGAAGATTACAGAGCTGGGACCACACCCCCCAACACTTTCTTAAATCCTTATTCAGGAAGCCCTCCAGCCTGCAGCTGAGAAGCTGGGAGAACATTCCTGGCAGCTGGGCCTCCCCCTCCAGAGGCCCCTCCCTGCTTGGGTGTTCTCTGTGGCTCCCTAGACCTATATGGTCATGGGCTGAAGGGGCATGAAGGTCAGGTGTGCAGCCAGGTCTCCCATCTCCTGTCTGACCTCAAAAGCAGACCAGGAGACCAAGGCAGGAGACCAGCTCAAGGGACTAACCAAAACCTCTTGACTCCTCAGATAGTGTTCTGTCCACCTTCATGTCCAGCTCCTTGGCCTAGCATTCAAGACCCTGCCCTGTCCACTCACCTCCAGCCAGCCTTCCACCCACCAGGACTCTCCCAGGACCTGTAGGCCATGCAGATCAGGCTGCAGCCCAGATCCTGCAAGGTGGCCCTCCACCCACTTCAAGGCCCTGTGCCCTCCCCAAACCCTGCCAGAGCAGCAGTGGGCAGTTACCACACTCTCCCACACCGCCTGCCCCTGGACTCACAGGAGCCGCAGTTACCCAAGCCCCCAAGGCTCTGAGCAGGGCAAGGCGACCGGGATGGTGAGGCACCCGGTGAGGAGGGACTCCTGGGTGGCATGCAGCGATCTTGGTTCTGGCCGAGGCAGTCTGGGATAACCACCTGCTCTCTCTTTCCCTGGTGCAGAGCGGTCTGGGAGGAGACCAAAGGGCAAGAAGAGCGACTCGAAAAGGAAAAGCCGTGAGGGCCCAAAGGGCAGCCCTGAGAAGAAAGAGAAAATGAAGGCAGGGCCCGACTCAGTCCTGGGGCAGCTGGGTAAGTGGCCATGCTGGCCTGGCAGACCGGCAAGGCTCACACCGTCCCTCCACCTGCAGCCCCCATATGAGGCCGGCTGGGACCATCGGCACCCACCTGCACAGAGCGGGAGGCCCTTTGCCCAGGCACTCCACCTCCTGGCCATAAAAGAGACTAGGGTTTCGGAGCCCGGGTGCCATCCGAGAAATTCCCCTTTTGTAGACCGGGAGGCTGTGTCCGGGAGCTCAGCAACTGACAGCTCATTCCACTGGCCAGGGTCCTGGGGGCCCTGACGGGACCTAGGCCATCGGGCCCTTCTAGGAGCCACCCCCGCGCTGGGAGGTGTGGGCCCCAGGGTTCTCCATCCTTGTCCCACTCCGCCAGAACCTTTTCAATGGGCCCTCTCTTCAGTATCAGTGAGCCTTCATTACAGAGAGACCCAAAGGAGTGGCCAAAGGCACTGGCCCAACCCATCTTCGCTGTCACAGACCTCCTTACTGCTACCCCGTAAGCCAAGCAGCCCTTGGGGGGACCTCAGCAGTGGGCTTTGTCTCCCAGGACGTCACATGCTTCCCCCAGAGCATGTCTCAGGGATGGCAGTAGAGTCCCCTTCTAGGCCTCACTTCTAGCACAGAAGCCCCAGGTCGTCTCTTATCACCCTCCGTCTCAGGAAGGGGACAAGTTGGGTGTCTAATGGGAGGCTAGTCTCACTAGCTGTCCCGAGACCTGAGGAAGGGGGAGGGGAGGTGGCCTATAGCTAGAGCAGGCACTGACATCCAAGAGGGGCCTTACACCCTGATACATTGCCACCTTATTCATGCCTGACACCCTTACCCAACTTCCTTGTTTTGGAAGCTCTGGGAGGCAATGTGCATAGAAATCCAGCGCCCCCTGGTGGCCTGAGGGCATTTTCCTCCATTCCTCCGCTCCCGGCACCTCATGGCCGTGCAGGGTCAAAGGCCCTTGCTTGTTTTAATGTTCTCCTGTGGCCACCTTGAAATTCTCAATGATAATTTTTGAACAGGGAGCCTGCAAAGCCTGCTGGGGAGGGTCAGAAAGGGATTCCAGAGAGGGTGGGACTGACACCTGCTGGCATCTCACCTTCCTCCTCTCTCCCCTCGCCAGGCCTGTCCACCTCGTTCCCCATCGACGGCACCTTCTTCAACAGCTGGCTGGCGCAATCGGTGCAGATTACAGCGGAGAACATGGCCATGAGCGAATGGTCACTGAATAATGGGCACCGCGAGGACCCTGCGCCCGGGCTGCTGTCGGAGGAGCTGCTGCAAGACGAGGAGACGCTGCTAAGCTTCATGCGGGACCCCTCACTGCGACCCGGCGACCCTGCCAGGAAGGCCCGTGGCCGCGCCACCCGCCTGCCTGCCAAGAAGAAGCCACCACAGGATGGGCCTGGTTCACGGACGACTCCGGACAAACCCCCCAAGAAGCCCTGGGGCCAGGATGCAGGCGGCGGCAAGGGGGGTCCAGGTCAAGGACCACCTGCCAGGAAACCACCACGGCGAACACCTTCGCACCTGCCGTCCAGTCCTACAGCTGGGGACTGTCCCATCCCCACAGCTCCCAAGAGCCCCCCACCGCTGGCCCCTGACACCCCCGACGAGGCAGCCCCCATGGCCGCCGACTCGAATGTCCAAGTGCCTGGCCCAATGGCAAGCCCCAAGCCCTCAGGCCGGCTGCGCCAGTCCCGCGAGAGCAAGGGAACCCGGAGGTCATCGGGTGCCAGGCCTGATGCTGGGACAGGACCTCCTTCTGCTGTGGCCGAGAGGCCAAAGGTCAGCTTACACTTTGACCCTGAGACTGATGGCTTCTTCTCTGATAGGGAGATGAGCGACTCAGATGTGGAGGCTAAGGACAGCGGGGTACAGCGGGGTCCCCGGGAAGCAGGGGCTGAGGAGGTGGTCCGCATGGGGGTTTTGGCCTCCTAAGTCACCCCTACCCCGTCTCAGGCCCTGCCCCAGTCCCCCACGAGGCCTCAGCCCAGTCACAACTGCCATTTCCAATCTGCTGAGTGTCCCAGACTCTCAAGGCTGCCACTCTGTTGTGGTTTTATTTTTAATACAGAGAGAGTTTCGAATTCTACACTGTTGTCTTTCCTCTGTGCTGGCCTAGGACATTAGGATTCCTCCCACAGCTCTGGCTGCAGGACCGGGCCAAGTCCTGTGCAGCACCCATGTGGCGGCGGCAGCCCCGCCCGGCGTCGCTGGGCTCCTGGCTAGATGCAGACAAGGTGAAGGAGAGCTCAGGACGCCAGCCCGCTGCCACTGGGTGACACAGAATGTCGTTTGGGCATTATTTCATGGCAGATGGGCCGGCCCAGGGCCTGCCCACCTTGCCCTCAAATTCCACTGGAGTCCATTTGGGGGGTCCTGCTGCACTCCACTGATCCCCAAGGAAGTCTATAATAAGTGATACCCAGCCAGAGTCTACTCACTGTCACAAGCACAACGAGCTTACATGAGAAAGCACTGAGGGGGCGCAGAGGGCCCTGCTGGTTCCAGGGGAACCACCACCGCTCCTGTCAACCCACATCGAAGGCCTGCCCACCCACCCCGCGACCCTCCACTCCCTCGCTGCTCGGCCCCTGCCAGCGCCCAGCCCTGCAGCCCCGGGAAGGGGTTTCCAGAATCCTTCCTGAGCTGTGCCACTTACTCAGGGGACTCCCAGGCAGCCAGCCACCAGTGCCAGTGGAGGGCTGCCAGGGAGGGCCAGTGCCCAGACGGGGGCGTGGGCTCAGACTTGCCCGCGGAGAATCGCTCCGGGCTCCAACTTCCTTCCTTCCGTAGGAGCCAGTCTCGGCCAAAGTCTGGTCACTCCCAGACAGCTGACCAGGCCGTTCGCCTTTTCAGGTTTCCCAGTCCTGCTAAGAGATGAGCTGCTTCCTCGGTTTCCTTCTGGAAACTCCTTCCAACTAGCAGTGGGATCCCGGGGCCCAGGCGGCCGCCTTGGCTGCTGGGGCTGTTTTCAGTCTTGCTGGAGGTTCCTGGTTCCTCTCCCTGTGAGCCTTAACCCCCTTTCCCAACTGTGCCCTCCCTCCCCACCACCCACCCTCCTCTCCCCCCTCCCCTCCCCTCCAGGTCCAGGTAGTTGCTCTGAAGAGTTTTAGTGGAGTGGCCCCAGGGTGATAGCTCAGGGAACAAACAAAAAAGGAATTCAGTGAAAACGTGTGTTTTTTTCATTTGTGAATTACTCCTGGGTCACTTCCGCCACTGGTAAAGCCAGAACTTCTCCAACAAGAACCTTGCAAAAGTCCAGTGACAGTCGAGTCATTCTGTGGATGCCAAAGAATATTTTGACCATAATACAGCACAGCCTGGACCCAGCACCTTGTCACTTGGACTTTTTTTAAAGGAGTTCTTTAGCAACAGCTTACAGGAACATGTTCCTTGCACACACCCAAGGAGACCAGCCCGAGCTCTTGGAAGAGGATGCTGTTCCGCCGCCCGACTGTGGAAACCGGAACCAGGTGTTGGATTTCAAATCCTGGACTGGGCCCACCGTGAGCTTTCAGAAACGGCCTCACAGTGGGGAGGAACACGCGGGAAACCGGCACGGCCCAAGTCCTGACCGTGAGGTTCCCCCGTGCGAATGAACACACAGCGCAATTCGGGGATGGGGAGCAGCTTGACCACTCGCCCCCGACTCCACAACTACCGAGGTACGACAGTGGCGTTGTCATTGACACTCAGCTTTATGTGAATTTTAGCAAAACAGGAAACAAAGGTGATGACTCAGTTCAGGGGATCGGACGAATGTGTCCGGTTGGAATGGACTCAGCAGGCTTCAAGGACTCCGGGCGTTGGGATGGCATGAGCTACCGCGTAGTTTAGTCTGCCTGCCACCTGGGTAGCAGTGGCCAGTGCAGTGTCAGCAGCAGCGTCCCAACCCCGTTCTCTGTTTACTGCCTTTGAACAGACCTCCTTCCTCCCCCGTGCTTCACGTCACAGCCTTGTCTGTGCTGGATTGCTCAGTCTGACCTCGCAGGAAGCAAAGGGATGAGCTTAAAGAACAACCAAACTTTCCCTGGGGTGAGGGGACTAGGGTGCCAGGAATGGCTTCGGTCCAGGAAACTCAGCACTTGCCCCCTGACCCCTTCATCCATCCCAAGGCAGGGTCTGGGCCCCCTGGAGGCAGGAGAGAACCTGGGAGGGAGTACGGGGCAGCTGGCACTCTTCAGGGGCCTCTGCTCAGGTTGGCTCTGGGTTCTGGCCCTCTTCTCTCCTGCCTCTTGCTTTGTTTGGGCAGATTATCGCTGGGGCATGGTGTCTGGTTAGGCTGGTGGGGGCCCCTCCCAGGCCAGGCCAGGCCCTAACCTCCCCTCACCAGGCAGCTGCCCACCTTCAGGATGTCCACCTGCTGCAAGGAGGACGAGGATGCCGGGTCCACTTCTTCCCTCCATTAGTCACGGCCCCTTCACTCTTTGTCCAGCCTCTGTCCATCGTGTTGAAGGTCTTGCCACCCCTGAGGTTAAGGTGAGGAGAAGGCAGACGGGAAGAGGCCTTTCCAGGCCGGAGGCTGGGGCAGATCTTGCCCCCGCCCACACTGCCCACACTCACTGGCCCTCAGGGAGGGAGAAGCTGCTGTCACTCATCCTGGCCGTCATCCTCATTTCCCAGGCCCAGCTGCCCACCGTCCCCTCCCCCCTCATCACAGTGAGAAAGGATAATGTGCAAGGGAAGTATTTTTATGGATCATAAATGTATTTTACAGCAAATGAGGAGAAAGGTAGAAGGGTTTATTTTATTAAATGAGCACTGACTTGGTGACAGTGCGTGAGAGGCCACCCAGGTTTCCACATGGGGGCTGGACTGTGGCTGTGCCCACGTGCATGCGTGTCCCTGGGGGTGGATGGGCACACCATGGGACGTGCTAGGGCAGTTCCTAGAGAATCAGCTGCCCAGCTCTAACAGACATGGGCAACAGCTGGACTTGGCCTTCCCTTGCTCACTGCCGGATGTGGCCAACCTCTGCCCATGTCCAAAGCTCTGCAGAATGGTCTGGATGCCTGTGGCAAGGTCCTTGGGGAGGCCACTTCCCATGCCCCTGGCCCAGCTGGCCACATTGGCCAAAGAGCCAGGGCTGGAGTCTGGGACTTTTGGTTGTTCTTTAGGGCACTTCCTGCCACCTTGTCCCTCAGATGCACAACACTCTGTGCTCCACGTCGGCTCGGGGTGGGGGATGATATGAATGTCACAGGAGGAGACACCTTCTGTCTTTGTTTCAAAGAAAGTGATGTGCCATTTGTTAATATACAAGAGAAATATTGAAAATATATTGAAAAGAGCAATTTTAAATTATTTTTGGCTTATGTTGCAATATTTATTTTCTTGTATTAGAAAAGATTCCTTTGTAGAGAAAAAATGTATTTTTCATTAACGCAAAGACCTATTTCTCCTTTTTGTACATTGTCCGTGTTCGCTACCCTTGATGAGCAATAGAATGTATGGCCGCCCTGGTGTGGCCAGCGCCCACCGTGCCCTGCATGACATGTGTTGCCGCTGCTACGTAGCTTTCAGTCCCATCCTGTCCTGCTCACTCCTGGGCTTCCAGACCTGGCCACCCCCAGGGCCTGTGTCTCAAGGAGCCCTTTGCACTCCTCATGTGTTGGCAAACGCAGTTAATAAAGCAATGTTTTCTGTGCTGGTCGGTGTGAGGCTTCGTTGCATTGAGTGGGGCAGGGGCCTGAGAGTCCTGTGCGCAGACTCGACAGTGGCCCAGTGAAACAGCAGTGCTCCCTGGGTGTCCCAAGGGACCTGCTGCCACCCCCTCAGGAGTCATCATGGTGATGGTCACAGTGACGGCTCCATGGGCCAGCGGCTGTGCTTAAGAGCTGAGTTTCTTTTGCCCCTCACTGTCGTCGTCCCCTAGGATTCAGAGCGGATGAGGGGTATACCCAAAGCCACACCTCTGGTAAGAGGGGAAGTCCTACATCACAGGCAGGACCGTTGGATTCTTCCCGCCCCCATGAGCCACCTGCCTGGGACAGTGGGGAGGTTTGGGAGGGAGCTTAGCAATGTCCCTACACCAGGGAAGAATTGTGCTCAAGTGTGTGTTTCATTCATATTTTCTGAGCACCGACTCCGCTCCAAGCTCTGGAAAGTGTGGGAAGTGTCACTGTCCCTCCCGGGGCAGCTCACAGTCCAGCAGGAACCCAGACATGAGGGAATGGGAGTCATGGAGGCCCGGGCTGATTGGCGGGGAGTAACACCATTAATTCATTCAACAATGAATCCATTTGATCACACACCTGGTTCAGCCAGTGCTCTGGGTTGTACACTGTGCATGTCACCAGGGCCTGCCCTCAGAGCTTCCAGGCAATGGGACCTGAAGAATAAACAGTTGCTTGCCCAAAGGGAGCTGGATAGAAGGAAGAGACAAGAAACATTCCTGGTGGAGGACTCGGCACAGGCCAAGACGGGTCAAAGATGCGTGGAGTGGGTCTCACCCCTGAGCCCACGGGAGGCTGTGTGGAAAGGGATTGAATTGGGGCTCTAGCTTCTGGAGCCGCTGACTTAGTCATTTAAGACAGCAAACTGCCCCATTTCCTAACCAGTGCAATAGGAGGCAGGTCCCCACAGGCACCTCCAGACGCATAAAGTTCTGCGACTCCACAGCATTGGAAATAAACCTGGGGGCTCCTGGGAGGCCCCAGGAGCTGTGATTTGGAGCTGCCCTGGGCTCAGCACCACAGCCTCTCCCTTCGCCCAGGCCAGCCCGATGCCACAGTGACCCAGAGTCACGCGAGGTCCCCCCACACCCCTGCAAGACCCGCACCTGACAGCACACCCAGCTGACAGATGCGGGGCACCTGTGGGTCGGAAGCAGCCATGCTCAATGGAAATAACGGTACAAGTAAGTGCAGTAGCTACACATTTTTAAAAGTACAGGAAAAATTAATTTTAATAATTTTATTTAACCCATTATATCCCAAATATGATCACATAAACATGTAATTAATATAAAACACTTATTAATAAAATATTTTGCATTCTGTTTGCGCTGTGTGTGTGCTGCACTTACACCTCATTTGGATGAGCCACGTTTCAAGCTCAGTAGCCACGTGGCTGACAGCGACTCCATGGCAGCGCAGCCCTGGAGCCGTCAGCTGTGCCTGGGTGGCCTTGGGCTCATATCTGATCGGTGCTCCTAGGCCAGTGATGGCGAACCTTTTGAGCTCGGCGTGTCAGCATTTTGAAATAACCTAACTTAACTCTGGTGCCGTGTCACATATAGAAATTTTTTGATATTTGCAACCATAGTAAAACAAAGACTTATATTTTTGATATTTATTTTATATATTTAAATGCCATTTAACAAAGAAAAATCAACCAAAAAAAATGAGTTAGCGTGTCACCTCTGACACGCGTGTCATAGGTTCGCCATCACTGCCCTAGGCCTTCACTCCTGTCACTGCCTCTGCCCTCCCTGCCCCCTGAGAGCCCCCGAGGACAGGACAAGTAGGCTGACTAGGTGGAGGCTTCCCGTGGAGGCCAGTTCTCTGCCAGCAGCTCCTGGGGGGCGGGGAGGGGGTGTCCACTCACCCAGCACTCACTGAGCACCTGCTGCTGGGCCCTGAGGCCCAGGATGACCACAAGCCCCTGTGGAGAGACCAGGCCGGTGTGGGAGACGGACTTTAATCAGATAATCCCAAAGCAATGTGCAGTCACTCAATGAGACTGTGTGGCAAGTGAATGTGCGGCCTGCAGGGGGGAAGGTCTGCCCTCCCTGGACTCCCTTTACTCTGGCTACTCCTGCAAGTAAGATCTGGGGCGCCATCTACCGCCCGCTGGGCCCCAACCCAGAGATCTCCAGTCCTGAAACCCACAGGGCCAGAGCCAGCCCTGCATTCCCGGGGCTCAGACTCCAGCCTCTTGGCCCCTGCACTCCAACGCCTCCCAGTGCAGAGAATCTTCTCCATCAACCACGGGCACAGGGGCAGCTCACGGACCCGAGGCCTCCTGGGAGAATAAGGCATCGGCTGAGGCCTGCTGGGTCCCCAACCTGGATTGAGTGTGGAGGCCAAGGAGACCCAGGCCCTGTCTTCCTGCAACTGCCAAAGAAAGGCAGGAAGTCAGCAGTGGGCTGGAGAGGGAGCATGTCCTACTCCCAGGGCTGGCCTCAGTCCTTATTGCACCTGTGTCTGTGCCCAGAGCTGCCAGAGGAGGCAGCCAAGGCCCCTTTCCTTGGAGACTAGCTCAGGACTCGGAGGCCAGGAAATGCGGGCTGCTCACAGTGGTCTCACAGCTGCCCTCCCCTCACAGGAGGCCTCCCATGCTTCGCCTGCCAGGCTCTTACGGGCATCCACGAGGGCCAACTCCTTTGCACTGCGAGGGCTGAGCCAGCCCCCCGACCTGTGTAGTCTGCCCAGCCACCCACTCTTCATCCCCCTGATGAGAGACTCAGGCAGAGGCACATAAGGTTTCATGATCACCATGTTGCCCAATAAAAAATGAGTTAATAAAATGTGAATTTTAGGGCAGTCTTTGGGGTTCAGGCAGACTCAGAGGGAGGCAGGAATGGATGAGGGATTGGTCAAGCAGGTGACTTACAGGGCCAGCTGAACGGAGCAGGGCGACGCTCCATACCCAGTGCTCTGAGCCAGACCTGGAGCTCAGAAGCATGCACACCATCCGTCCTGAGGGACCTGGGTCGGGACGCAGAGGCCCTGGTGCTGGCTTGTCAGGGAGACCTTCAGTGGGTTCGGCAGCAGGGCTGCCAGATTTAGCAAATAGAAATACAGACACAGTGAAATTAGAATTTCGACAAACAATGAATAATGCTTTAGTATAAATCTGTTCCAAATACCACATCCTGTATTTTTCCTGGCAATCCCAGTGGGAGGCCTCACATCCTCTGCTACACGGTGTCTAGGCAGAGGGTTGGTGCTGGCGTGGGGTTTACCGTTGTATACAAACTGGGGCAGACCCAAGACTGTCCGCCCAACCCAAAGCGCTCACCCCTGCAATGCAAGAGCCATGGAAAGGGGCTACAGCCGGTGGCCAGGCCAGACAGAACCCAGCCTGCACCTGTCTTACTGTGCCTCAGCCCTGAGGCCTCCCAACCCAAGCTGAACAGAACTCGGAGGTGTCCCAGAAGGAACCTCGCTCCCTGCAGCTCCTTGAGGCCCATGGTCCTTTTATTTGCTGACGGGTCAGCATCTGAAAGAGTTCACGTTGGTTGCAGCACCATTCACTATAGCCAAGAGGTGGCAGCAACCCAAGTATCCATACAGTGGTTCTCAACCTTCCTAATGCCGCAACCCTTTAGTACAAATACAGTTCCTCATGTTGTGGTGACCCCCAACCATAAAATTATTTTCGTTGCTACTTCATAACTGTAATTTTGCTACTGTTATGAATCGTAAATATCCGATATGCAGGATGTATTTTCATTGTTCACGACCCACAGGTTGAGAACCGCTGCAATGGATAAAGACAATGTGGTAGATACATGCAGTGGGACAGTATTCATTCTTGAAAAGGAAAGAGACTCTGACACGTGCTCTGACATGGATGGCCACTGAACGCACAATGCTAAGTGAAATCAGCCAGTCACAAAAAACACACTGCACAATTCCCCTTACATGAAGTATCCAAACTTTCTATGCTGTATCAAACTCACAGAAACAGAAAGTAGAGTGGTGATTGGCAGGGGCTAGGGGAGAAGCAGGTGTGAGTTGCTTGGCGGGTGCAGAGGCAGGATGGGGGCCTGGGCTCTGGCGCACAGCAGTGTGCTTGTTGGTGACGGTACTGTGCTGTACACTTGGAAATTGCTGGGAGGGTAAATTTTGTTTTGTGTTTTTCTGCCACCATTTTTAAAAAAAGAATACTATACAGGAAAAAATATCCTGCCCTAGCTGGTTTGGCTCAGTGGATAGAGTGTCAGCCCATTGACTGAAGGGTCCCAGGTTTGCTCGATCCCCAGTGGGGGGCGTGCAGGAGGCAGCCGATCAATGATTCTCTCTCATCATTGATGTTTCTATCTCTCTAGCCCTCTCCCTTCCTCTCTAAAATCAATAAAAATATATTTTAAAAAAATATCCTGCTACATTCAATAATGTACAACTGCTTTGTTGCAACAAAAGACATAATATTAAGCAAAAAGAAGCCATTCTAAAATATTAAAAGGGGCCAAAACCGGTTTGGCTCAGTGGATAGAGCGTCGGCCTGCGGACTGAAAGGTCCCAGGTTCGATTCCGGTCAAGGGCATGTACCTGGGTTGCAGGCACATCCCTAGTAGGAGATGTGCAGGAGGCAGCTGATCGATGTTTCTCTCTCATCGATGTTTCTAACTCTCTATCTCTCTCCCTTCCGCTCTGTAAAAAATCAATAAAAAATATATTAAAAAAAAATAAAAAAAATAAAAAAAAAATAAAATATTAAAAGGGAAAAAAGAGTTCAAGTTGGGTCTCTGCCTTTTGTGGAGCATCAATGATCCTCCTACATCCCCCAACTCAAACTCAGGCCTCTTTTTATTATTGTTATATCCCTCCCAAGGCTTTTTGCACAGCGCTGTAGGGAAATATGGCTAACGCAGGAGTGAGGAGACCAGGGTTCGAGTCTTCTCTCTGCCACTGATGTACCTCAATTTTCCCATCTGTACAATGGGAAAAGAGGTGTGGTTACTGGGATTTCTAAAGT